TTCGTTCACATGACTGAAGAATATCAAGTCCAATTGATTGAGGACTTGGGAAAATTTGATCAATTAGTTATTAATATTTAGTCAAGTGGACTAGTTATAGTTTTTTTGATTAAATTTTATTAGAAGTGTTTTTGACTCAAACTTGTGGTAACTTTTTAAAATTTCGTTATTCAATAATATTTAACTATTGATTTTTCTTGTAAATAGTTAGAAGTCAGTGATGTTTGTTAATTTTTATCTTAGTGTATTTAACTTCTAAGTTAATATTTACTCACTAATGTATGCTTTTTTTTCTACTTTATAGGTTATTTGTAAGAGTAGTTGAGAGATATGAGCATATCAAGTACAATTTATGTTCAATTTTTTTAATTAAATTAAAGTTAGATGAAACAATTACTTAAGTGAAGAACAAATAACTTTGTAATAATTTATTATGCGATTTTATAATTTTTGTTTATTTGATAAGATTGAATAAACAATTGGGGCAATTTTAATAGTTTTACAACTTATGAGATTTTTATGTTTATGAGAAAATATACAACACAAAAATTCCATATCGCATGTCTAAACAAACCTTCAATTTCATCTCATAATTCCATATCATGATACCATATCATGATTCATATCATGATTCCATATCATGATACCATATCGCATGGCCAAACGGGCCCTAAGTATATTATTCCTTTTTTCAATTTTTGTCCTCCCTCACTCCAACACCCTTTCATTTTTAATTCGTGTTAAAATACTATAATTAGAAATAGTTTAATTTCGTAATTTTGATATTTTTACCTTTAATGAAATGATTTACAATTACATAAATATTTAAGGATTGTTTTATATCACAAATTTTAATATTTCTTTTCTTAAACATTATATCAAGTCAAACAATACTACATAGAATGAGACGAGGGAGTAACATTCTTTTACTTTTAGTCTGGTATATACGGATTGACATCTTTCCTTATTTATTGTCATAGAAAATTATATGACTTATTTTAGATGTTAAGTTTTAAAAAATCTGTTAAACTAATAAATTGAGAGAGAGAGAATGAACATACCAACATGACAGCTTTGACATGGCGACGATCAAACTGGAACTCTGCTTCACCAGATTGCATAATTTCCATCATAGTGTCTACGAAGTCTTTATTTTTCTTGTGGTCCTTAGCATTGACATGTTCATCAATAATCTTCTCTACAAATGGATCAAGCACCTTAGAAGTGTCCTTCATTCTACGTGTGAGTCCTTGGAGGTCAATAACACCAAGAAAAGGGAAAAAATCACCAAGATTTGGTGTTGCAGCTAGAGTTGTAACCTCTTGAACTAAATACTTAAATCCCCTTTTGTCCAAATCGTCATCCGTGAACTTTTTCCCAAAAACCATTAAGCAACTCAAGTTGGCACTCAACTTCGACACTTGAGCACTAAGATCAACATCAACACGACGACCTTGAGCTATTTCTTTGATCGATTTGATCATAATGGCAATTTCTTCACTTCTAGTAGATTGGAATGAGTTAATCTTCATGTTACTCAACAAATGGACCGTACACAATTTTCTCATGTTACGCCAATACGCGCCATACTTTGAGAAAATCAAATTCCTTTGGCCATACGATATGTATTGAGCGGTCTCGTTATGAGGCCTACTAGCAAAAATATGATCATAAGTTTTGAGAATTTTTTCTGCTGATTCAGGGGAAGATATAACATAAGTTGGTACCAATCCAAATTTCATGTAGATGATAGGACCATATTTTAGAGAAAATTTGTGTAAATCATGAGTAAGATTTTCACCTAAAAGATGGAGATGTCCTAATATTGGAATGCCTTTTGGACCAGGAGGAAGTTTTTTCTTGTTTTTGATATTTAGTAACTCATAGAAAATGAATAATAAAATTAGAGCCAAAATGAATGTTGCCCACACAAAAGCCATTGCAAATAATAATAAGACAAATAATAGACAATATTTGCAAGTTTGTTGTATGATTTATGGGAAAGGGCACATACTTATATAGGAAAATAAATCATGTGAACGGCGGCCCCTCAATAGTTATTGTGAAAAAGGAAAAGTCTATATAAATTACGAGTTGGTGAACTATAACATAATCGTGTCATAATATTACTGTTATTATTTTGAGTAGTTTGTCATTATACGACAACAACAAAAATAACAGAACAAAATTAATTGTTAATCCTATCTTAATTAGACAAATTAGCTACGGATAATAAGAAAATTTTATTAGCTATAAGCAATTTAATGTAATGAATAAGAGATGAGATTCATAGCTAATAACTTCAACAAAAAAAAATCAGGGTGGAGTCAGCTTAGGCTTAGAAACTTATCCGAATCTTTTATGACGAAAAATTTACATTATTTATAAATGGTTCAAATTATTTTTATATGTATGTATATATAGTAAATATTGAACACACTTTAACTAGTTCAAATATTTAGTTATTTATATTAAAAATTCTCAAGTAATAATTCTAACTTTGTCATTATTCAAAATGAATCGTTATGCAATTTGAAGTAAGAAAGTCAGATACTCTACCAAAACGTGATCCTTAGAAAGTACCAAAGTGTTCAATACGGAAACATATATTAAAGATGTTTGACATCGAAATAAAATAATTATTTTGGTTATAGAAATTGTGAAAATGTAAGCTTTTGGGGTTAGAAAGTAAACATTAGTAACTTATAATACCCTCGGTTGTATTATATAATATTTTATTAACATCCAGGGCAATGATGATATATATTTTGCTTTAATATATAATATTTGCTTTGATGTCACAAATGACGCTTTTTATTATTACTCCTATTAAAGATGTTTGACATCGAAATAAAATAATTATTTTGGTTATAGAAATTGGGTAAATGTAAGCTTTTGGGGTTAGAAAGTAAACATTAGTAACTTATAATACCCTCGGTTGTACTATATAATATTTTATTAACATCCAGGACAATGATGATATATATTTTGCTTTAATATATAGTTGTCACTTTGATGTCACAAATGACGCTTTTTATTATTTTTTGTTAAAAAAGTAACTGATTCTAATTGTTGTACAATATGAGTGCTCTAAGCATCATCATATTTTACATGAGCATTTTCTCATGACGTGCATGGCAAATAAAATACTAGTAATAAGAATATGAAACCGTTTGTATGAAACATTCTCTTTTTCTAAGTGAAATTGATTGAGAATACGATTGTTAAATCAACAAAGTTAACTAATACATACTCCCTCCGTCCCTATTTACTTGTCCATATTTCCTTTTTTGGTTGTCCCTATTTAGTTGTCCATTTTGACAAATCAAGAAAGGACAACAAATTTTTTCCTATTATACCCTTATTTACACTTCTTGAAAATTGTAAAAGTGTATGTTGTTTCCCTCCAATTTATTTCACTTGAATTCAAATAAGTGGTTGTAATTTTGAAGTGAAAAGTTGTCATAAGGGTAAAATTGTAACTTCACTGTGCTAATCATTGTTGCCTTAATCTGTGTGCCATTTCTAAAGTGGACAACTAAAAAGGGACGGAGGGAGTATCTTCTAGAGTTAATTGAGAAATTAATATACTCATTCTGCCTCAAGTTATCTATTGTGAATTCTAATTATCTGAAATTATTTATCGTTTAATTAGAAGTTCAAGACAATATTAATTATTTATTTTTTTCATTTTATTCTTAAAAGTTATTGTTCTTAAAGACTACAAACATCTAACTTATGGATGATATTAATTGTTCAATAACAATAAATGATAAAATAATTAGTGTTTCTTAAGGAACATGTGAAAGAGAATCACGATAATGTATGGAGTTTTACCAGTCTAGGCTCTAGAATCTTGATTCACACTTGGTATAAGCATGTGTTTCTCTAAGCTTAAAAACTCTTTTGTTCCTCAATTCTTAAGTCATTCCGGTCACATTATTCTTAGGACATTAAGACTCGATTTCAAAGTCAATTAAGATTCAAAACCAACAATGTAATTAATTATAAATTCAACATTTAGTTTTTTTTTTCAAACAAAACCCTTAAAATAAATATTATTATAAACTAAAATTAGATGATCAATAAAACTAAAATCTCAGGCATAAATTTAAATTGAATTAGTTGGATTTAACATAAATTGAATTCTTAATATATTGCCCGTGGGGGGGGATTCAAATTAATGTTCTGGTGGTGGTGGTGGTGGAGCAATGCAGTGAACGATAATGGAGGTGGCAGAACATAATCGGGCAAAGGGCGGTGCCGGATTAGGCTAAGGCGGTGGTACCGCAGAGGCGAAGTCAGGATTAAGAGTTTGGGGGTTCTAAGTTTCTTTAATAACCGTCAATCAATTTTGTTAGAGAATCACAAATTAATATACATATATAATAAATTAATTTTCTAATACAAATATAGGATATACAGAAAAGCTACTGAATTCGTCCGAACCCATGAACCTCCACCTAGCTCCGCCTCTGGGCGGTGGTGTTCAATGGACGCTAGGGTGGTCCCCAATGTGAGGGAGTGGAGAGCAGAGACAGAAGGAGAGAGTGGAGGAGGGAGGGGTAAAACACCAATTGGAAAAAAAGGACCCCAAAATACTATTCACTTTTTTTGAATATTATTGTACTTTATTGAAAAATAGTATTTGACTATAAAAATTTCAAATACAATTTCAAGTTGTATTTGTAATTTGAAAAACAACCAAGAGTACAAGATCTTGTTTTCACTTTATTTATTTTTTTTAAAAAAATTATTTGTTTTTAAAAATCCTAAATTTATTGTTTTCATAAATTAAATAACTCCATTTAAATCATATTTCATGTTCAAATAATATTTTATAATTTTTTAAAAATATATATATTTAAATTCTAAATATTAGCTGCAAAAACATAGACAAACACAACTCTAAATCCAACTTTGAAAATTTCAAATAAAGTGATGCTTCCAACAAGATTTTCTCTATATCCAGAGCTCGAACTCGAGATCTCTCAATTAATGATGAAGCAGACTCACCACTACACTACAACCCAAGTTAGAAAGTGAATATTTTTTTTATCTTCATGGCAAAATGCCTACGTAAATTAATCTAAAAACTTACATCAATATTTGACTAGTTGTTCGAAAAATCTATCTCGTAACATCGATTTTATTAACTTATTTTTAATTAAATTAACTGACTTCCGCGGTTAAACATAAAAAATTTTACTTATTTAAAAAATAAATACCAACCTTGTGAGGTTAGTCTACATATTTCCCACCTTTTTTTTTTCTAAAAACTTGACCTCCTGAGATCAATTTCCTTTTTAAAAAATGAACAAGAAAATCGATTTTCCATTTTCATTAGAGGTCAGTTTTCTCATGTTAATTAATAATGTCTTTATTAATGTCTTGTTTCTATAAATTGCAAAAATAACTTGTTATAAAATTATATTGTTAAAAATACAATAAATAAATATATAATTTCGAAATGTGATCAAACATAAAAATCAAGGCTATTTTTTCAATGAAATTTATGAATAAGTGAATAGTCATTGTTTGATGAACCAAGAATATTCATATTTTACTAAAACGTTGATTGAATGGCCTAAAAAGTTATGTTGACCAAACTATTTAGAGCTCCAGAATTTTTGGTTGGATTAATATTCCAAAAAATGTGAATTTTTCATGAGTCAATAAATCACTGCAATGATTTTCTTTTGTTTACTCAAAGAAAAAGAAATGCGTCGTTACTAATTTGCGACTTTTAATAAAATAATTATTAGAAATGAGAAGGTTCAGCTGTTAATTGTTTGAGGGTTAGGTATAAGAGTGGCAAATGAGCAGGTTGAGTCGAAAATGAGTTAAATAAAAATAAATAAAATACTCGATTCAATTTATATTTTAAATGAGTAATAAAAACAAGTTATTCAATAAATAATATGGGTAAATATGGATAATCATATTATAGCAAGTATCTTGTTAAAATCTTTTAAAACAAATGTTTTACTTCACTCCCCACCCACCACAAAAGAAAAAGTTAAAACTTTTTTAAATTTGATTTTTTTTTTAAAAATAATATTGTTTTTATCACCACCACCCGTAACCCGGCCCCCAACCCCCTAACAAGTAACAACCCATACCCCCCC